CCAGTGGCTGACTACAGGAAGCCCCTGCCCCGGGCTTCCTGGAATCAGCCGCTGATCAGTTTCAGCAGTGGCTGAACCTGGATGCCAGTTCCGACTTACATACAGATTCAACTTAAGAACAAACCTACAGTCCCTATCTTGTACGTAACCCGGGGACTGCCTGTAGTCCCTTTTAGAGGAATCTGCCTGTCAGCACCTCAGCACACCTGTACAAAATATAAAGCATACAAAACAGACAGTCTCAAACTTAAGAACTACATACCCCATCCTGACAACTTGGCCTTGCCTAGCTTTTCAGGCAACTGACTGAGTGGCTAGATTAAACTTGGTGCCTTTGGGTTCAGCAAATTCCAACTGTCAAAGCAGTGATGGAAAATTCCAGAGAAAGGCCTTCTGTGAACCCCCAACCCTAATCTTACAAATCCAGTGGCTCTTAACTTGAGCATCCCAGTAGATCCTACATGCTAAGTTGAAGTATGTATATGTGTGAGTGTGTATATATGACTGAGGGGGAGAGAGGTTGCAGTTTTCTAGCAGCCTGAACCCAAAATCATTGTGCAGTTTATTAATTAAATCTGTAAACCATTTACTGTGATATAATATTCCATGTAGTCTATCCTAAAAATGATGCATCTCAGAATTAATTGATGTTAAAATTCTACCACTCAAACTACACTGAGAAGGTGGTTGTTCCCCTTCAGTCCTCCTGCTGACAACTAAATAGTATAAGTAGAGTGACTAGAAATTAGCTCTGAGGAATGGACAGCCCTATTAATTTTTTCTATGCATTCCCTATGCCAGAGACTGATTATTTCATAAAATTTATCCCATGAAGCCATTTCCAGTCTATTCCTAAGTGACCCAACCATGGGAACTTGACTCTTTCATAATATAATAGATTTGACCTTTAGAAACTTTTAAGTTGGCCAAAATTATACTTCTGATCCTGTTAAAGATGGTGTTTGTAATGTCATCGATTGCTGTGTTTTAGCTTGCCTAACATTTGTCATTAATAGATGCCTTTTTTGGTAGCATTTCTGTAGTACTTTTGTGTTCAATGCACAGTTCCAATCTGCCTCAGTTAGATTTGTGAGCCCTCTCTACTTCCCCAGGTGTCTCATATTGGCCTCTCAAAAATGGACACACAATCAGTGGCCACTTCTTAACATTTTGGTTTAAGTGTCTTTTGCATAGGAATGTTGATAGAGGCAGGGATGTCCTCTAGGATGGCATTTAACTTCCTTAATCATAAAATCATCCTGTCTTTTTCTGCAGTCCCTTGCTGTGTTCATCATTAACCTTCCAGCTTCTGCAGTCAGTGAGGCAGGGACCATACAGACAACAGCCTCACTCTGTATGCTACTCCGATTAACTTCCAGCACGTCAGTCTTTTGTGTTGACTGAGGCAGGGGTCCAAATAAATAAATAAATGTGTAACTGAAGCTAAATTAAGGTCACACAGGCAACATTAATTCTGGCATGCCCTAGCCTTTGAATGCTTGACTTCTCAATTTATTTATTTTTTTAAAAAATGTCTAGCTACACTCACTATGCCATGCTTCTGTGGATTTTATATCCTTAGGCAAAGTGACAATAAAAAAAATAACAAAACTAACTTCACAGTGACCCAACCAGCATCGGTTTCATGTACAAGAAGAAAATCTATCTTTGAGAAATAATAAATGACAAAATTGGAAAGAGTCTCTTTGCACCAGGCTTGCAAAAGTATTGTTAAAAAGGACAGGAGGGCTTTAAAGAAATAGAATTCAATGATGAATACAGAGAAGAGTTGGCAGTGTTCCTAAAGCTTTGAACACTAAAAACTAGCCTTTATCAGCTTTATTGATATGAGTTCAATGTGTCTGAGAGCAGCATTTGAAAAACTAATTTTGCTAACAACATTCTCCCTTCTGCAGGTAAATGGGATTAATTTCCTGTTTTGATGCTGTCTTTTCCAGCTATATTGGAGGAGGTACAGGAGATCAGGAAAACATTTTAGAGTACTATTAGTTTGTGTCTAACCTTTACAGATGGTACTGCAGAAATTTGACCCTTATCTCATGTTTTGTAGAGTCTGACTAAATTGAAAATGTTGCAGTGCTGATAAGATTTTTATATCAGCAACAGTATTTGACTCGCATTTGCAGCTGGGCATCTACTTTAAGTTTCTTGTACTCCAATTTTATTCACTGATGTTCATCCAGAATACTTGTATCAAATTATTTGAAACCTAAACCACAAGACCTACTTTCCTAAAAATGTCAAATATGACTTAGTGGCACAAAATGTGAAGCTGAGTTTGTTTTGTACAATAAATGTTTTGTACAACGTTTTTCATACAGACTATCTCAGCAGGTGTTCTGGTGGGTAAATAATATTGGAGAATCTTTCTAATAGAAGATGTTTTCTTGTGAGATGGAAATAGGATGACAAATCAGAGATGGCGCATACTGCAAGAGTGGTTAATAGATCTTAAGGCTGCTTCTCCCCTCCAGGCTGCAAGATTTCAATGTGGAATAGAAGGGACGTTAAGTCTATGGAAAAAGTAGTCCTTTGCTGAAGGTTTTACTTTTCAGGAGCCATCTCCACCTCCTTATGTTCAAGATGAGGGCTGAGTGTGGGAGGGAGAATGGACTTGGAAACCCAGTTATTAAAATACTTGATTTAACATATAATTCTTTGTTCTTTCAGAGCATCAGCTGAATATTCAGCTCATTACTATGAGCTTGCTACACAGTGACAACAGCTATAGAGCCAAAGAACTAGAGTCTGGCTGCTGTGCAGCCATGGCTAGTGCATGCTGTGCTGGAGCTAAAGAAGACAGCATAAGTGTCTCTGTCAGCAGTGGAACTGGAAACCTTCCAAACTCCTTCACAGAGGAGATTCAAGGATATGATGTGGACTTTGATCCCCCCTTGGAAAATAAATATGAATGTCCCATCTGTTTGATGGCTCTACGTGAAGCAGTGCAGACACCATGTGGACACCGATTTTGCAAAGCCTGCATTGTCAAATCAATAAGGTAAAGGTGTGCATGATAATTGAATTTAAGGAAAATATTGACTTGAATGTGGCAGCTCAGTGGCAACATAATTAAATGCAACTTGTGAGGACACATTATATATGTCTTGTTTGAATTTTCAATGTGTTAACTGAGTATCTCTTTAAAGATGCAAAAGCAGCGAGGAGTCCTGTGGCACCTTTATAGACTAACTGAAGTGTTGGAGCATAAGCTTTCGTGGGCAAAGACCCACTTTGTCAGATGCATGCATCTGTCCAAGTGGGTCTTTGCCCATGAAAGCTTATGCTCCAACACTTCAGTTAGTCTATAAGGTGCCACAAGACTCCTTGCTGCTTTTGCAGATTCAGACTAACACGGCTACCCCTCTGATCTTTAAAGATGCTGTATTATAGGTGGCCTAGTTAGCAATGCTTAAACAGGTTGAACCTCTGTAATCCGGGTGGAGGGAACCACAGGAAATAAGTAGGGGGAAGGCAAATTCCTGCCAGGTCCTCTCCCTACAGGGCTCTCCTTGCCTTCAGTCGCTGCTCTTGCAGCTCCCATTGATCAGTAATGAAGAACTGTGGCCAGTGGAGGCTGCAGGGTTCGGGCCTGTGGATCCATGGGAGCTGCACCTGGAGCCTCTGCAGGTTCCAAACGACCTCACCGGTTCCAAACGAGAGAATTTTCTGGACCATGGGAGGTCAATATTGTCTAGCATCACTTCCACTGATAAATGTCCTCTAACAGTACAGTAAGGGATAAATTAGGGTAAATAAGAGCTAAATAACAGAACACTGAGAGCTAGGATAGATGGCTGTAAACAAACTTTATGGGACCTCAGGAAACTTGGCCACACCCATGAAAAGTGGACATCCAGCTAACTAAAATTGTGCTGGATGACATTTCTCAATGAGAGAATTTTGGATTAGAGAGGTTCAACCTGTAGTTAATGTTGTCCCATTATAGGATTCTGTTTTCAGTTTCTTAATCTTTAGGCCACGGCCTCAAAATTCCCTGCTTTCTAGCAAGGACTTGAAAGTTGGCGCACAGATCACCCTGGAGTCAACCATGTGCCTTTTGCCTTCCCTGTGAATATTTGCCCATCTTTGATCAAGTAATGAGCCTCTAAAAATCAGTTTGTACAAGTTCAGTAGAAATGTATTTGGGAACTAAATTCTGATTTCATCTGCATTAGGTATGCTGTGTAAGGCTGAGTGGGACTTACCTTGCTGTTCATTCCTATAGCAAAGGGCTGCTGGCATGAGGTACAGGAACTGAGCAGGAGGATTACTTGCTTTCACTACCCAACCTCTTCCCCACAGTTACCCAGGCAATGAGGAGAAGGATGCTGCCTGCCTAGAATGCAGAGGATTGGGAATAGGGGTGTTGAGAAGCGGGGAGAAAGCATTTGGGGGACTTAAATGACAAGCCAGGGAGTGAGAAGTACTGGAAGAAAAGCAAGCCTAGGGCAGGGAACAGGACAGAACAGTGAGTCAGTCTGTCTTTGTCTGTCTCTCTCAAAACCTGAAATAGAACCCAGGATTCCTGGGTCTTGGTGTTCCTCTGTCAGCAAGTAACTGTGGAACTGTCCCATTCCGACGTACAGTCCAGAACAATGAGCAGTTCTTTCTGCCTGTCCTGCAATCTTAGGATATGTCTAGACTACAGGCTTTTGTTGACAGAAGTTTTGTCAACAGATACTGTCGACAAAGCTTCTGTCAACAAAGAGAGTCTAGACTACACCCAGTTCTGTCGACAAAGCAAGCCGCTCTGTCAACATGAGAGTGTAGACACAAAGGACAGCATAGATGCAATAACGCCTTCTGTCGACAGAACTCTGTCAACAAAAGGCATTATTCCTTGTAGAATGAGGTTTAGAGCCGTTGACAAAACTGCTGAGTTCTGTCGACATGTTGACAGAACTCAGCGGCAGTGTAGACGCAGGTATAGTTTTATTGACAAAAGTCCACTTTTATCAACAAAACCCTGTAGTCTAGACACACCCTTAGGTGCCTTACAGTGTTTTGCTGTTGTAGATTCCATCACAACCGGGGCTACTCAGAAACATCCCACCACTGTGCAGGCCACACGCTGAGTGTAGGGGGCTGGTAAAGTTCAATCGACCCGCTGCTCAACAGGAGACTCAAGCAGCTCCCTCCCTCTGCAAACTGCCCAGAGCAGCTAGCTGAGGGGGCTGTGAGCTCAGCAGGGCGGAGGTTTCATGTGCTATCATAGCCCTCAGCACAATCTCGTAGCTCCTGTTGGCCAGAAACCAGGCAATAGGAGTTGCCTGGGCAGTGTTTGCAGGTCAGGCAACATGCAAAGGTCTCCCCACCCCTCTGGGGCTCATGCCACTCAGAGAGGCACATGGCCCCTGCAGCTGGCCACTCTGAGCAGCATGCAGGAGTGTAGAAGGTAGGGAGGCAACTTAAGGGTCCCACTGGACTGCTGGTCGGGAGACTCCTAGATAAGCACCTCCCAGCCACAGTCTGCCTCTGACACCTGGGCCATTCACTCTCCACAACTCTCTGCCCTCCCTCTTGCACCCCTACCCCATGTAACCCAAACTCTGCATCCCCACTTCCTAATCCCTTCCCCAGGTCACAACCCAAACCCCTTCAGCCTCTCGTGCACCCGTGCCCCAGGTCATAAGCTCCTCTTCCACCCATACACTTTCCCAGACCCTAAACTTCCTCCTCCACCCCAGTCCTCTACCCAGAGTTCCATTAATATCATGGAAGAGTGCAGCCTTTGACCACTTCCCAAATTCTTGGAGTGTGCCCCATCAAAAATTATTGCCCACCTTTTGTGTAGGAACAGCCTTGGCCCAGCAGTTCTGACCCCAGCAGCTAGTTAGCAACAAGCTCCTAGCGATGTAAAATCCCATTTAATCAATGAACTGGTTAAACATGTTTAATTTCCAGCCCCAGGAGGGCTGCCAGTTGACTGGTTACCTATTCACATCCCTACAGGATTCTAGAAGCCTTGGTTACTATTTGCAGGTGACCCCAACATGCTCCTCTTCCCAAGTTTTCTCCAAAAATCTGTGTTCTGCATTGTACAGCCCTCTTTTCAGATATTACATGTCTGTTTCCTTTGTTGAGGGCTCAATAGTCAACAGTTTACTACTTATAACTGGAGTTACCAGACTGCTCAGCTGAAACATGACATTGGATTTGTTTAGATGGTAACTAAACAAACTTTTTTATTTTTCAAGAGATTTCAAGTGAGTACAAATATGAGGTATCAAAGTCAGAAATAATTACAAGAGAAATAGAGATAAAATGCTTTTTGTGAGCTAAAACTTAAAGGTAGACTTGGTTTACAGTAAAATCCTTGCTACATGTTCCCAGTAACATGGCTGACCAAGTTCTCAGATCAGGATCTCCCCCAGAGTCCAGGGGTTGGTTCCTTTGTCTCCTTAGGTGAGAGCAAAGGAAGCTTTGGAGCAGTGATCGCCAACCTTTTTACTCCCAAGATCACTTTTTAAATCTCCAAACAGGCGAAGATCTATCACCCCGCCCCTTCCTTGAACCCCCACCCTCTCTAGTCTCCTCCTGTCCATCACTTGCTATCCCCAGCGCTTACTTACACACTCTGATAAACAGTTTATTTTTAAATTATGCGATTTATAAAATTAAAATTACGTGTTTATAGTTATGAAATAAATGGTCTGTTTTTTATTCATGCTATTTAAATCTAAAATGAAGCATTTATAATTATACATTTTGTGGGGACAGAGTTCTGTGGCAGGGGGCAGGGAAGAGGGAACAGGGTGCTGGGAGGGCAGAGGATGGGGTTTGCAGCAGGGGACAAGGTGCCAGGAATAGGGTGACAGGAATAAGGACAGAGTTCTGTAGCTGGGAACAGGGGAGTGGGGACAGTTCGGGGAGTGGGGACAGAATTCTGTGGCTGGGGACAGGGGAGTGGGGACAGAGTTCTGTTGCTGAGGACGGGAGTGGGGACAGAGTTCTGTGGCTGGGGAGTGGGGTGCCAGTGGAGGCAGAGAGTCCCCTGTATCTGCCTCCTCCCAGGATTCCCTCCCCATCCCCCAAGAGGGAAGCCAGCGCGTGCCTGCTCCGGGGCCGATGGCCCCCACCCCCCTACCCCCACCCCCCGGTGCAGGGAAACCCCGCGCGCGCCTGCCCCAGGGCCGACCGCCCCGCGTGCGTGCGCGCGCCTCCCCTGGAGCTGACTTACCCCTCCTGTACAGTGCAGAGAGCCGATGCTCCCTCCCGCAGTACACCCAGCAGAGCAGCTAGTGCTACTTCTGGAAGTGGCGCTAAGCTGCGGGACTTCTGTCCATCCCTGGGAAGCCTACACTACCTCCATTTTCACTTGAGGTAGGTAGTGGGGCTTCTCGGGGGTGGGAGGGACAGGATGCCTCATGATCGACCGATCGAGGCCTCGCGATCGACCAGTCGATTGCGATTAACCTGTTGGTGACCACGGCCTTGGAGTGTTTTTGTCCTTCAGTTTTGTAATCGAGCCACCATTTTTAATTAGATTCTTTCAAGGATTACCCATTAAAGCAAAGTTTGAGCACTAAAGAAGGCAACATGGAGTCTGAAGATGGCTGCATGCTCTTCTTCCCAAGTATACCTGGGTCCTGCCACTTCCCCCTCTAGTTGGCTCATGGGATGTTTACTACTTGAATGTGTATTTACTTGAATTTGCATGTCTTTGTTTAGGATAGAACTGTGTACCAAGTTTTGACGGGTCAGGGCTGCGTGGTTTTGAACATGTGCTAACACTTCATCATGCAGAAGGAGTTTATAACTTTATGTGCATAATATTGAGCAGCAAGCTGTTAGTTTCCAAATAATGACTGACAAGGCATATTTTGTATCAAGATTATGATGATAGTATGTAAGGCAGACTTTGCCTAGCAAGGAGAAGGAAGCTGCTCTGCGTGCTACCGTTCCTCGCCCCTCCGTCTCCTCCACCCCTGCTGGGGGGACAGTCGTATAGGGAAGCTCTTGCAGGCTCCACCTCCATCACTCCCACTGGCTGAAAAA